CATTGGAAAATAGTTAAAAATTTCACGCACCTGCGCATGAAAGCTGAATTCGAAACCTTGAAGGGTTTACCCGCCAAAATTTTCACGAGGTCGTAGGTAATACTCAAGAGCGCGGTAACGCTGAATTTGAATAGCTGAACTCAACCTTGCCTATTCAAATTCAGCGTTCCCGCGCTCTTGAGTTTCACTTAAGGCCTCGTGAAAATTTTGGCGGGTAAACTATTAACTCGGAAATCACGGAAAGACTTTACCCCTCAAGGTTTCGAATTCAGCTTTCTTGCGCAGGTGCGTGAAATTTTTAACTATTTTCCAATGTTTGAACTATTTTTTCGTAGACTAAAGTACAAAGGAGTAAAATTCATTAGTAGGCAACCGTTCGGTAGGTTGAATTGCACAAAACGCATGATCGCACCGGCTAATCTGGTGCACGTTGCCATTTATGTACTGCTGTTACACAACACAAAACGCATAAAAAACCCTCGAGTCCCCCATCCCCAACCTCCCCCCATTCCCCATCCCCACCCCCAACTTTTGTCCCCGTCCCCATCCCCAACTTTTCTCCCCATCCGCATCCCCACTCCCAACTTCCCTCCCCATCCCATCCCCATCCCCAACCTCTCTCCACTCCGCCCCACTCCCGACCCCCAAACACCCCGATTTTGCAAAAATTACAAACTAGTCGCAGCTGTCAACCCCGACCAAACCCATAGTTGGGACAGCAGTACCCGGCGATAGACTGCCCGTCACATCGCCGTGTAAATCCGGACTGGGACGGCTGTCACCGAGGCTCAACCAAGTCGAGAATGCGGCAGTAAGTGGATTCTCGACTAACTATGCCCAGTAATGCAAACAGTACTCTCTCACCAACCGCACATAGGACACTAGGACGCTGATCTCTGAACCCTTATAGGTACGGTAAAGACAGGCTCAAGCCGCATTCGACTGTTTACGCGTTTTTTGCAGCAATGCAATGCGAAAAACGCATATTGACGAGAGGTTGTCTATGTGTGTGTCTGTGTGTGCGCTGTGCGTCTGTACCGATTTTTCATCTCGAGACCCACAAAAGCTACAGGGCTGGAATTTTGGGGAGTTAGTCTACATGCACGTGCGGGCCCCCATCCCCAAAATGGGCGGTCTTTCCCGCGTGGTACCCACGTGAGAGCCCGCCAAAGTTTTTTACGGGTAAGCTGCTAACTCGCGAACCAGAAAAGTTAGAGCGCTGAAATTTTATGGGAATGTTACCCGTCCAGGTAGGTGCTAATGAGCTCAAACCCACCCTCCGCATAAGCGTGGTACCCGCGTACGGGCCCGCCAAAATTTTCCCACGTAAATTCATAACTCGGGGCTCTGAGATGCTAGAAAGCTGAAACTTTAAAGGAATGTTCCCCGTCCAAGTAAGTCTCAACGAGCTCAAACCCAGACATCGGGCATGCGTCGTACCCGCGTGCGGGCCCGTGAAAATTTTTCCCAGTAAGTTGCTAACTCAGGAGCTAGGAAAACTAGAAAGCTGAAATTTTAAGGGGGTGTTTCCTGCCAGTTCTGGCAGCCAGTCTTAACTTGTTTAGTTTGAAGCAAAGCATTTGCCGAAAAAACCGATGCCGGTAGCGACAAAAATTGCGGGGAATCGCGCAAAAAACGCATCTTCGCACGGGCAGCCCGTGCATTGGCTAATTATTTTGAATTATACAAAAAAATTCAGACCTATATCGTTAATGACGATTTTTTGAAGTGTTGCGCACAAGCGCCTTTTTTTCCCAAGACCCTGATTGACATTGATTCCAAACAGCAATAGTTTTTATGTGACCATAGACGGAAATGCGAAGACTAAAATTACCCTAAAATTTCAGCTTCCTAGACTTCGTGGTCTCCGAGATAATAATTTACCCGTCAAAAATTTTCACGGGGTCGTACTTGTTACCCGCGGGTACAGGAAGGTTGAATTTGAGCTTTCAGGGTTGCACGTGGTCAGGGGACGTACCCATAAAATTGTAGCTTCCTAGCTTCCGTAGTTCCCGAGATACTAATTTTACCCAAGAAAAACTTTAACGGGGCTGTACTTGTTACCCGCGGGTACGGGAAGGCTGGATTTAAAATTGCCGCTTCACCCACTGGCGGGGAACACTATACCAAAGTTTCAGCCGCCTAGCTTTTGTGGTTCCCGAGTAGAAAGTGCGGGACAAAATGTAGGACACACACACAAACACACACGCAGACAACCCCGTGACAGTATGCGTTTTGTACTGCTGTTACACAACACAAAACGCATAAAAATACTAAAATTTCCGCATCATTTTTGCTTCGATTCGGGAAGCTAACTGTAGCTCTTGTACTTAACGAGAAGAGACAGACTAAAAGCATAGTTCGTTCCAAAGCCTTTTAGTCCGCACAATATTTCAGTAAGCCTGAAAAATTCTGATTTTCTAGTTCGCCTTACACACACAGTAAATTTAATGGCTTAACATTAAGCCCTTGAGCTGCTGCGTTATTTTACTGACAGAGCGGTCTGGTTAGGCCAAGCATGGGCGACCTTTGGAGACACGAGGGACTGATTTACATGCCTACTTAAGCTCGCGGGCCACCTGTTAATTAAAACCCAGCTAGCAACGCACTAGGCTTGCCCATGCGATCATGCGTTCTTGCGCTAAACGACGCAAGCGAATCGTAACAGTATGAATGGTTGTTGCTTTACAGCTTAACATGTGCAACTCATGTATCGGTGTTTTTGTCTTTTCTTGAATGCTGGGAAAAAGAGCGTCGACTGGGACGGTAGTGCCGCATTGTGGTTCTCTCCGTTGTTGAGTTTAAAGTGGGTAATAAAGTTCTCTCACTTCTGGATGGACACACACACACACACACACACACACACACACACACACA